TAACATAAAAAAGTTCGGTTGGTGAGACTGTTTGGCAGCCAACGACCGTCGCAGTGTGAAATTAGGCGCGAGCGCGCCGTGCGGAGTGTTGAGCTCCCGGCCAAGCTGGGCACACACACTACGCCCATGAGCAGCAGCAGGGCCCACCGGAAGACCACCGACAAATAGCACCAGCCAAATGGCCCAGCCCCGATTGAGCCGATCTTCTGAATTGAAACCGCCGGACGGGACCAGAGATTTGAATATCCGAGGGGGACGTCTGTGCAAAGCCGGTGTAACCATTGAACGGCCAATCGTTTTGAATTAGCACGGATTACGGTAGGAGACAATACTGGGAATAGCCTATAGGAGAGCCGAGGAATCGCCTTTTCAAAGGCCGCCCGAATAATCGGAAACCGACCAGAAATTGCTGGTCCATGCTTTCTTTATCCGAAATGTTCTCGCTGATTGCAAAAAACACAACTTTAAAAAATACCGCAAATAACGAAAAGCGCGGTTTTTCAAAATACAGACTATTGAAAAGCTGAAATTCCCCTCAGAATCGTTAAAAATAACCGCTTTCGATTTTTTTTACAGCCCAGATTCGTTATAAAGCTGGATTCTGAAATCCCGAGCCCGAAATCTCCATTTTTGTCGATGCAAAATCAATCAAAAACCAAAATAAAAATCAAATAAAATCCCAACCAAATGCCGATTTTTTCTCCACCGCCCGAAACATCAAAATCTCAATTCATGAAATGCCGACGTGCGAAATGCCGATTTACCAAAAGCTTCGCAGGAAAATGCCGTTTCGGCACTGCCGACGTTCGAAATACCGAATTGCCATAACGCTAATGCAGGAGAATGCCGATTTTTCAACGGCCTGGCTGATCGAAGTGGCCATTTCCGAAATGCCGACGTACAAAACACCGAAATTTACAAAAAATTAGGTAAAATTTAGGCAAAAAATGACAAGGCCGCGTTTTAAGGCAACCTGCGTAAAATTTCGGTATTACCTTCCGTAAACCGCCAAACGGCAGATTTTTTGAAAATAAGCTAGAAAAGCGAGGCGGGGCCGGCTGCCGATCCCGGCAAATGGGATTGGCTGGATTGGTAGCAGGGGAGGAGGAGGAGGGCCCTGGGCAGCATGCACAAAAAGAGGATTTGTGAGTAGTGGCGGCGCGCGCAGTGGGGGCACGGGAGGATAGATGGATAGAGATGGACGAATGCCAAATAAGGGGCACTGTAAGGGGGAGGAGGAGGAGGAGGAGGAGCAGTGGCAGGTGGCCATCGGGGGCCCTCACACACACAAACCGCATACCAAAAGGGGGCATGACCTCTCGGTGGCCCCCGGAGGCAGCTACTGCATGGAGGAATATAGCCCCACCGAGGAGGGCACGCTGGCAAGAATTGGGCTGCAGACAATTGTCCGCTCATTGTCCGACTTGTTCGAGATTTAGTCTATTAACGAAAAAAATCCGGACAAATAAATAACCCGATAAAACCGTGGTTCTTTCGCGTTATCGGGGGAGCAGATTTTTTTGCCTAACTATCGAAATGGCTAGTAACTTATTAGAAAGTGTTTTGATAGTTTTTTTAACAATATATAACTATATTTAAACTAGAAAACTATCTAAAAAGTTTAAATATGTTGAAAAATTCGAAATTTTGGTCAACGATCGTCATTTTTGACAGAAAAAGCAAAATTTTCGCTGACTTTGGGAAGTCTTAGCGTTTAAGACGAGTAAAAACCGTTTAGAAACACTGCCACTATTTACTTTTGAAAAATCAGATCCTAAAAAAGTTGGTTTTCAAGCGCAAACCCCCGCCCAACCCCTGGTACATAATAAAAAACCATGAAATTTTTGGTGAATCAAGAAAGGCACGGTGCCGACGGACGTCACCCCCTCGCTTCAAGCATAAAAGGGCGGCGATTGCATGACGGGCTTATCAGCTGACCCTGCCAGCGCCCTCATCAAAAACGGTCTGCCCCTATTTGCGCCGACGACCTCAAGGCGGTGTGTCAGCAGTTTCGGGGGCCAACGCTGCTGGCTGTGTTATTGCGAGGGGAGGGCGATGCATTGATTTCGGCGAGCGGGACCGTTTGAAAACTCATGAAAAAGTTGCGAATCCTCTGTCATACGATTAAAGAATCAAAGCTTAGCTTAAAGCTAAATCAACTATAATAAAAAAGTAGCGGTGTCCGTCTGTCCGTCGTGTCCCGGATTCAACTCGAAGGGGAAAGGAGCTAGAGCTTAGGTCTCTTCGGATTCGGATAGAGCGTGGTCAGAAACCCCCAAACTGATAAAAAAAATTATGAAAAACTTTTAGTTTAAATTATTAGAATTAACTTTGAAAGTTTTTTCCTTAGTAAAAGGGGTGGGGGACGGAGGTTGGGGTGATTTTGGACATAGTGAGCCAGGTGGCGCGCGTTTCGTGGATGAAAATTTTCACGGGGGATTTCATTTCTTTTTTTCTCTCATTCCATCCGGTCGGTCGTTATTTTTGTTTTTAAGGGATTTCGGGCTAGGGAGGTATTTTAAACCATCAGGAAGGTATTTAGGTAGTTTTTGAAGGGGATTTCAGCCATGCCGGGTATCTGAAGCTATCGGGAAGGTATTTAGGTAATTTTTGAAGGGATTTCAGCCATGGGGTATCTGAAGCCATCAGGAAGGTATTTAGGTAGTTTTTGAAGGGGATTTCAGCCATGGGGGGTATCTGAAGCCATCAGGAAGGTATTTAGGTCGTTTTTGAAGGGGATTTCAGCCATGCGGGTATCTGAAGCTATCGGGAAGGTATTTAGGTAATTTTTGAAGGGGATTTCAGCCATGGGGGTATCTGAAGCCATCAGGAAGGTATTTAGGTAGTTTTTGAAGGGGATTTCAGCCATGGGGGTATCTGTAGCTATCGGGAAGGTATTTAGGTAGTTTTTTGAAGGGGATTTCAGCCATGGGGGTATCTGAAGCCATCAGGAAGGTATTTAGGTAGTTTTTGAAGGGATTTCAGCCATGGGGGTATCTGAGCCATCAGGAAGGTATTTAGGTCGTTTTTTGAAGGGGATTTCAGCCATGCGGGTATCTGAAGCTATCGGGAAGGTATTTAGGTAATTTTTGAAGGGATTTCAGCCATGGGGGTATCTGAAGCCATCAGGAAGGTATTTAGGTAGTTTTTGAAGGGATTTCAGCCATGGGGGGTATCTGTAGCTATCGGGAAGGTATTTAGGTAGTTTTTGAAGGGGATTTCAGCCATGGGGGGTATCTGAAGCCATCAGGAAGGTATTTAGGTAGTTTTTGAAGGGATTTCAGCCATGGGGGTATCTGTAGCTATCGGGGAAGGTATTTAGGTAGTTTTTGAAGGGGATTTCAGCCATGGGGGGTATCTGAAGCCATCAGGAAGGTATTTAGGTAATTTTTGAAGGGGATTTCAGCCATGGGGGGTATCTGAAGCCATCAGGAAGGTATTTCGGTAATTTTTGAAGGGGATTTCAGCCATGGGGGGTATCTGAAGCCATCAGGAAGGTATTTAGGTAGTTTTTGAAGGGGATTTCGGCTATGGGGCGTATTTGGAGCCATCAGGAGTTTTCTAAGTAGTGTTTTAACGGGGGTTTCGGCTATGGGGGGTATCTAAAGCCATCAGCACGGATATTGATAAAGTTAGGGAAGGAATGTGGTGGTGTAGAATATGGAAGGTAGCCCGAAGGCCAGCCGATTACAGCCGCGACGCGGCTGTAATCGGCTGGTGAGTTAAAGAGTTAAATAAAAATTGCCGCACAGGCAAGGGCGCAGGGACGTAGCGTAATACAGGCCCCGGGGGCCCGCCCCCGAAATCGGGCGGGGCCCGAAAATTTCATAAGGGGGGACCCTTATGATTTTTATTTTCTCAAAAATTTGCTGCCTGCGGCGCTATTTTTTCACGTTTTTACGGCTATTTGTAGAGCTATGCAACCTTTTTTTCAAAAATTTTTGCCTGCGCCGCTGTTTTTTCGGCAATGTTTTGAGTTTTTTGGAAAAATTTTTGGGGGCCCCCCCCGAAATTTTTTTCTGGCTACGCCCCTGCAAGGGCGCAAAAAGAATACGCGATTTGCCAAGCCTGCGCCTACTACCGCGTGGCTGTGCAAGACCAAAGAATTTGAGCCAAAGCCTCGACAGAATTACTCGGCTACACTTTAGAGATGCAGCATTCTGACGGACAGTAGCCACAGAAAATCATCGACACGGTCCAGAAAAATGAGGTGCCATCCGTCCGCCACATCGATGAGTGGCAAAGAGGCATATGTTGATGGAATGGGCCGTCAAATCAAATTGCAAGACTTCGGCAGAATGTTGTCGATATGGGGAAACGACCGGTGGCTCACTTCATTTCGACGGTCACCTGACCCTTCCAAAGAGCAAAAAGCGCATGGTACTGCTGAATTTGGGGAACACGATAAACTTGAGGCCGTGGCAGTTTAGTGAGACTGTTTCAGAAAAATCGGGCTAAAGAATCCATGATGGTACCATGGGTTCTCTAGCCTCTTTTACCATCCGCTAATTGAAAAAGACTAATGCAAAAGAGTGAATGCAACACACGGGCGATTGAAAATTGTGAAGGAATCTCCGGAATGAAAGGCGGGCGCAGGACAAAAGGGGAGGAGCCGGCGCGCTGAGTCACGGCCATGCGAAAACTGCTGCTACCACCGCGGGCAACGCATCCGGATTTCCAGAACACATCGTAGACTTTTTGAAAAGCCCGCCACCCCACTACAATTATGCATTGCAGACTGCCAACCCCCGAAAACTTCCCGGACAAGGTATCCGGGCTTGCCGGCATTGAATATGCATAGCTGTGCAGTTGTCCAACGCCAAAGTGGCAAAACTTTATTTCATAACTTGAAACAGATTACACGCACATACAACCGGAAGTGAATTAAATTTAGCGATGAGATCAAAGTAATGGATTTTTAACGAGATTGTAAAACAACATGAAAATTGAGAGGCAAATTAATCCAAAGTGAAAATTTAAATGAAACAAGTAGGTACTCAGTCCTCATCCGATTCTTCGTCACGGGCCTTGCGCTTGTGCTTCTCTGCGATCTGGTTGATCAGGATCGTCCGACGGCCCTTCGGAGCGAAGTTCAACATCCCTGGAATCTAAATAAATTTTTTTTTGAAGTGTTAGCAAAATTACCATGCGGAGTTGGCCCGGGCTACACTTGACCTCGTCAGAGACACCGCCACGTTGTCCTTTTGGCAGAGCTTTCGTTGGCTTGGGGGGAGTTCTTGACAGGGCTGAGCCAGTGGGGATAGCCGAAGGCGGCACCGCGGCCTTCGCTGCTCTAGCGTTGCGATTTGTCGCAACGGGCGCTAAAAGGCATTTTAAACGACACATGGTTATCAATACTTGGCATTTTATCCTTGCGTGATGTAGTTTTGGCTGGTGTATAGAATTCCTCGGTTTCATCGTCCTCCTCGGAATCAATGACCGCCTAGGATGATTCAGTGTCAAATTAAAAAACCACACCTTCTTTCGGACTGATCTCTTTGCAGTGCTGGCATTTCCTCGCTCGGTCGGCTTGACTTTCTTGGTGGCCTTCAAAGGTGTCGAAATGTTCTCGGCTTCCAATTCGGCATCTAGGTCCGCCGATCCACGCTTCAACGGAAGCCGCGATGAAGCGGCAGTCTTCGCCTTCAGAGGGCTGGTGCGAGAATTCTTCGTGGCATTGTCGATGATCTAAAAAACATCTGAGAAATAAAAGATTGAATCGACCTTGTAAATTTCGCCGAAATTGATGCCCTTCGCGTAATCAGTGCCCAGAGCCAGACGGAATAATGCCTTGATCCAAGAGTCACAACCGGGCGTGAGCGCTTTCAGCTTGGCATCGAGGCTCTTTACGAAGACTTCTTTTTCTGCCATCACACGATTCGGATCATCCTCGTATTTCTATAATACAATATTAGAAGATCGATTAACTGAACCTTCCACGGCAAATCACCGGTCAACCAGAACACAATGTTGTAGAGCAAAATCTCCAAGTCACCACGATATGATGGCTGGAGACCACGGTGAGCGTCGAGTGAAGTGAAGATAGCCGTCCCGTTATGTGCTAAAAACGGTGAAAGCAATTGAAGGATAAATACCTCGCTTCTTATCCGGTTTCTCCACGTTCTTGGCGGACTTTCGCGCCAAGCCAAAGTCCACCAAGACCGCAGTCGAAACATCACGCGGATTTTCGAGTAATATATTGGCTGCTTTGATGTCAGCGTGAACGTATGACTAAATAAAATGTGAGAAGATTATGAACGTTTACGTCAGAGTTAGAGTGCATATATTCGAGAGCTTGCAGTATGGGGTGACAGATCTTCAAACAAGCTTCTCCGTCAAATGTTGATGCCTTTTCTCGGACTGCCTCCAGTGACGTCGCGTACTTCGGCATGATGAGGTACCGGTACCGTACTTTCATGTAGTCGAAGGTGCCAGAGCTGACGAGATATGGAAGTCCAAGCCTTTTCAGTCCTAAAAACAAATTGAGGGTAGCATGTGGACGCGATACCGTGCGTCTCCTTGTAAGAGTTGATCATGTCTGCCTTGAATAGCCGAAGGAAGACGTTGACTTCTGTGAAGAGGGGGCCATTCCCATTGGGCTCGACCTTGCAGCAGAATTCGGCACTACTCCCTTCCTTAAAATGCCAGTGAAATAAACAGAGCAAACGCGAACCTCTTTGCAAGTATAGATTCTTCCGAAGCCTCCAGTGGCGAACTGCTCGCCAATCGAGTAGTTTTTCTTCGTGCCAGTGTCGCGCAGGGGCGTGCCTTTCGGCATTAGAGGTGCCAAGGTGTGGAGAGCCGGCTTTTTCGGCGGCATCTGAAATGGATGTAATTATAACGAGAAAAAATAAAGAATGAATCGAATGTAATATGAAACCAATGAAAGCATAATCAAAGGTGCAAGTATAAAAAAAGAATAGCAATGAGTGCACGAGTCGGATATCCTGAAATGAAAGAGTTTTACAAGAGAGGAAGTCTAAAGTTTTGGGACACACCGAGACTGGAAAAATCGATGATAAAATGCACAGCTGATACGTACGTGAAAATGGCTGACAAAGACGCTACGGTACTGGGCACGGTTTGCTAAAACGCACTAAATGGTCGGAAAACGAATAAGCGGTGCTTTGATTTTGCTGATTTACGGAGATTTACTGTTCGCCGTCTCCGACGAGTAAAATTATTCATGTTCGGCTCGTTTCCATTTACCTTTTAGAAAAAGTTTTAAGGTTTAATTTTATTGCTTTACAGCCTTTTGATCATTTCAAACTACAACCTACAGCGCGATTCCTGCAGCGACTTTCGAAAGCGCTCCCTTCCCGCCGCCTACGGTACTTCCCCCACTGGATGGCCAGCCCCCAGAAACGTCCTGGCAAAATTTTACATTTTTCGCTCTCAACTCTAATTGTGGGCACATTGTTTACATTCGTTTTCGATAATTCTCGAATTTTACTGATTCACGTTCCCCTTTTCTAGGGAACCATGCAGAACGACGCCGGAGAACTTGTTGAGCTCTACGTGCCGCGAAAATGGTAAGAATTTCAGTTAGCTTATGAAACTTCCTCTATCATTTTCCCTTTTATCTTTATCTTTTATCGTTTGTTTTGGACTCTAGTTGTGGCTTGGGAATAGAGATGGCGCTATTTTATTTGTGATATAATTGGTCTCTTTTAGTTCGTCCTCGAACCGCATCATCGCCGCCAACGACCACGCTTCCATCCAGATGGATTTTGTCGACGTTGATCCCGAGACTGGCCGCATGATCCCCGGAAAGGTTAGAATTCGTTCCTTCTTTGGTATTTTTTCTCTACAGGTAACCCGCTACACGATCGCCGGCAGCATCCGACGCATGGGCGAGGCTGACGACTGCCTTCTTCGACTGGCCAAGCGCGATGGATTGGTGCCAGCTGACAACTAAATCGATCTTGTTGAGTTTTCCTCTATCAATAAACTGTTTACGCCTCAACCTGCACATTGTACACAGAACCTTGCTGCAGAAGAGGCTTACGCCGATGGATGAATGCCGCACTCATGGCCTAACGACATGTACGGGCCAGCCTGTTTGCAGACCATTATATAAAATCGCATCGCGTGCCGGTCGATTGCTGAATCAGATTTTGAGCGTGTAGTGCTTTATGCTTCCGCGTTGCATTAGTTTTTGTTCTGTCGTGTGGCCAGCTTCGAAAAATTATTTTGTTGATGTTTGACAGCCAGACAGCTAGCCCGAGGGTTGCGTGGGCAATATTGGATTTGCTCTATTATGAAAAATGCTTTTCGAGGCTTTCGCTTGGCTGCATCGGCCCCAATTGACATTTTTGAAAAGGGAAAGAAGAGCTATCGTAGATACTTTTTCGCTTTATTGAAATGTGCTGCCGAAATTACAAATGGGTTTCTAAAGCGACGGGCGTTATTTGGTGTTCGTGCTGTCGTTGCTGCAGTTATGTTTTGAATTTGCCGGATCATCGTATTTAGCGAGCTTCCAATTAGCGTCTCCCATCGGCTTCACCTGGCATTCATCCAGGAATGCACCAACCGGCCCTCACCCAGTTCCTGAATGGGATCCTTCACACACGGTCGGCGGCAGGGAATTCGCGGGTTGTCCGATTGGGATCTCCCGAAGAGCCTGCGGGTCCTAGAAACGAGAATCGAGGACTCAATGTCGGCCAATCTGTGGCATAGATCTAGCGGCTCGTCGGAGCTGACCAAGCCGCGGGAAGAGGCTCTAGGATGCGCCGAATTACCGTAGGCTTTTGGTTCCAACTAGCAGCTATCCCATTTTTAGTTAAATTTACGTGATTCTGAGTACTTGCAGGTTAGGCAGGCTGTTGTCATGGTGTTGAACTCGCGTTTTATGGAACCTTACAAGTATCAGCAAATTGAGTTTCGATCCCTTGTTGATAATTGACTTTGAGCCAACTTTACTACATCATTTCCACGCCCTAGATATTAATCGGCAAAGTTCGCCCTCCCCCGGATGTGCTCCATCTACGGGGTCAAGGCGGCGAGCGAATGGGAGGCTGCGAAACGGCCTCTTGACTCGATTTCCCTCGCGCCGACACTAATTCGCAGCGATCCCATCCCGAGTGGTGGTCATCGGATACCATTGTTGGCGATGCTGCTTATAGTATTTTGTAGAGTTACTTTTTATAGGCACCATGTTTTGCTTCGCACTGCCGTGCCAAACTTTTAGATAAAACGACCTATTCGATTTTGACATGGTCCCAAAGCACCGAGCGAATTGTTCCGGGCATTGTTTATCTGCGCATCAGCCGGTGGCTAGTATATCTGCATACTGGCGCAGCTGGCCAGCCGCTTTTTATAAACATACACCCCGGGGGATGGTGGTGGGCGCAGCGCTTGAGAACGCCAGCTGCACTCGTTTTACCGCTACGGAGGTCAATTTTGCTTAGCGAGTTTAGTAGCTATTAGGCTGTACTGGCTGCAATTTTGAAGAAGTGAATTGTTTATAGCTGTCACTGAACTTAATGCCGCTTAACTTGAGATCTAAGTCTATTTCACAAAAGCCAGAAGGTGAGAGACACTTTTATCTCATTTTTCTAATATTGTAGAGGAATTTTTTCCTAAACGTAAAACTGCAAATATTTAACAAAACTTACAAAAAATAGATTTTCGACCAAATTTTCCAATTTTCAGGCATTTTTCAAGCTGTTTTAAATAGTTTCCCGATTTCTGATAATATAGCTAAATTTGTTTCTTTTTTTTCTTTTACGTTAACAGGGGATCAACTTTTTGTTTTGTCTTGTTGCTAATTTTACAAGTCTGATTAGAGGAAGGGTTTCAAAACGGCTTTTTACTATTTCTGAGCGAAAATCTATACTTTTGTATAACTTCATTAAATTTTATCAATTTTAATTCAGCTATAAAAAAATCTAGATTTCCGACCGAAACTTTTAATTTACAGTTTTTTAGAAATTAGGGACATTTTGAATTCCCTTCCGCACCTCTGTGCAAAATTTCAAGTCTATCGGATTTGAAATAGCAAAATGCCAGCGTGACCTTTTTTATTGGGACACCCTGTAGTTAAATGCTACTAAAACCACGATTGTAATACTTGATGTTACATTACTAGGTATTTCTTGACTTATTGGCGCCCCGATCTTGAAAAAGTACCAATTTTAGAGTTATACCAGAGGGCTTCTCAGGAACAAGCAGCGTGCCTTTTCAAGCTAGAAGCATAGAAGAAGCCGTGTCGGGTGCCGAGTTCTCGTGCTTTTTCCTCTATTTCCTTGATCGCCTTATAATCCCTTTATTACGCTCTAACAAGTGGTGATCTACAAGGTTCCTTCGGTGTGTCGGGTTATATATACGGCGTCGGTGTCAGTGGAACGGTCTCGGTGGCGGTCTCGGTGGCGGTCTCGGTGGAACGGTGAGCGGCCTCGGGTGGAACGGTGAGCGGCGCTCGTCTGTCATCAGTTTCGTGGCAAGGTCATAGAGAAGGGGGGTCCGGGATACGCACGGGGATCGGCGCCCCGACAAACGTGGCCGGCCGAGAAGATATTGAGGTGATGAGCGTAAGGGGGGCAAGGGATTTTATAAGGCAAAAAGAGGAGAGGGGAGGCGGGGGGGTAGCCTGAGGCTACTAGCGATAGAGATAGAGGCGAGGGCAGGAAATTTTTGTACTTTAATATTGTCAACGGCCTATGTTAATTTACAGAGATGTTATTTTTCTTTTTCGGGTTTTTCGTGTTTTTAGAAAGAATTTTTCAGGATGAGTCACCATATTTTTCGGGAGAGATGCAGCTGGCGATAATAGGGCATCGACATACGGGTCGTGTCCCTAAGAAAACATTACGATGATAGGCATCTGATAGGAATGGCCTGGTGGGGTTGGCTCATTCCTTTTCATGTAGACGATTGCTTATACCAATTTATATTTTTATCCAGCTAATTTGGCCTTTTTAGATGTTGGTGTGGCCGTTATTATGGTTTCTCGCGGAGCTGAGTTTGGGCGAGTTGCCCAAGTGGCGGATTCAACGTAGTTGCGTCCCTTGTGCTGCTGTTTACGAGCCGTTTTGCGCTGTGGTGGAGTGAGTCTTTGAATTTTATCGGGACGCGGGAGTGGGGGGATGGGATAGGCTGCGCAGTCGGATCTCTTTCTTGTTGCTTTCAGGGTCAACGGGGTGTCGACCGGCTATTGTCTCTCTACACGCGAGGTTTTTCAACTGGCTTGCGGGGGTTTTATTCCTGCTGGGTTTCTCTCATATGATGATGGTAGGTTTTTCTGATTCTATGTTTTGTTGAATAATTTTTTGACAATTATATGTGTTCGATTAATGATTGTGCTATTATTAGTTTTTCAGTTATCTCGACTGGCATGCAGGCCTGTGAGTTTGGAGACTTGGAAATCTCAAACGCAGGCTACGGACAATTTGTGTTTTCTGATTTGTTTTTGATTCTGATTTTGTTGGTGTGTTTTTGATAATTTTTTTAATTCATGTGATTTGATCTACAACATTTATCTACAACATGTCTTAAAAATACTTTAGTGACGAACGAATTCATATGGTTTAATAAATAGTACTTTTTTATGGAAAAAAAAAAGGGAACGATTGTTGTCGGAAATCTTAGAGGTCCGCGAGGTCATCAAGGTCAAAGGAGGTGCTGGGATCAGGGGCGTTTAGGGGTTCCGGCTTACGCGGGCCATGGTGTGGCAAATTTCGATGGTGGAGACGTCCACCGCACGTTGCCCGTCGACAGTGGAGTCGGCGGTCTGTCCGGAAAGGACAGCCACCGACCTTATGCGTAGCGAATCCGCAGAACGTACAGAGAGCTGCTTTGATAATGGCTTTCGCGGTTTGTTTTATCGAGGCCGTGGTACATTTCCTGGTGGGGTGGTCGCCTCGGCAAGTCGCGCATCGAGCCGATTGATCTGCTTGATTTTCGGCAGCATACGCGGCGGCCAGTCTCGCTTGCCGGTTGTTTTTCTGGATCTCTCGCGTTGCATCCAGGACATTGAGCACGGCACTGATATGGTCCTGAAGAAAAAGAGGGGTTTATTGTTTAAATTGGAGTTACCTTAGGGATCTCCATGGTCTAGTAGAGGGGAAGGTCTGGGGGCCGGTGTGTTTTCGGAGTAGGTCGGGGGGTTGTGGTTGATTTTATTGGCCAGTCGTGGCCTTAAATAGGGATTTTTTTGATGATTTTTTTTTGGAAAATACAGTTTTTTCTTGGGGGTCTGGCATTTTGGGAGCCGGTTCTGGTTGGAGAATTGGGCAATTAGTGGCGGGGAAATAGGAACGGTTGGCAGGGTTTTTCGATTTTTTTTTTGTATAATGGCAGAGAGAGGAATTCGGTCGGTTATTGAACAGGAATTCTTTTGTATTTTCGACATAGCGGGAGTATATGACAGAAGAAGATGTATTTAAAAACTACTATAATTAATATAATAAGGATGTATAACATGGTTTTTCTTAGGTTTCCGGTTAAATTGATAAAATAGTTTTCGATTGCTGAGAACCAATTTTCGTCATCATCTGTGGTGTTATCGTTTTTAAAATCAGCTAAATTCGCGAAGTTGGTTATTTCAGGGTTTATTTTCAGGAAGTGAAGATTCCCTCGGAACGATATTTGCTGGCTATTGTGCTCATTGCAGATTAAGGTACAGTTTAGACGGGGGCGTTGTGATTTAAATCGCCGCCGGATTGTTGTGGAAGTCCCGGTTGGGGAGCATTGCACTGCGAAATGGGTTTCATTTCCGCATGTGAGCCGTCCTATTGTTGCTTTGGGCGCGGTGCATGTGACCTTGGCGGTTGCTGGGTCATTGCACTCGGCTCCCGCGCAGCCTGTAAATAGACTGTGGTCAGTGATTTTGCAATTTGGGGTTTCTTCAGCTTCAGAGACGTGGTATTGGTGGCGGAGAGAGAGTTTTGCATGGATCGATCCCATTTTGGTCTCGATCATGGGAAGTCCATCTTGATTGTGGATCTGGAAATAAGTTCCGAGAATAGGAAAACTCGTTTTTGGGTTTTTAAAGTTTTCTTCCAAATCTGTTGGGGGGCATTGACAGTGGCCGCTAGCTGGGTCGCAAGTGCATTGCGAGGAGTCGAAATGACATTTTTGATTATTTTGGCATTTCAGGGGAAAAAATTGTGAAATGGTGCTGGCTAGGCGGCTTCCGTCAGAAATAAATTTCATACCAATCGTTTTCATGACTTGGTTTGGGTCTGAAATCGAGGCTAAGCCTAAAAAGCTTTCATTTGTTAGGCGTAGGATTTCACCTTCTAGTAGTTTGACGGTTTTTGAGGAATTAAAATTTTGGGTGACGAGTTCGATTTTGACTATAGCTGAGCTCAGAAACTGGTCACATTCAAATACTTCATATGTTTTTTGACTGCTGGGTTTAAAGGTTAGCGCCGTAAAGATGCATTTTTTGCTCAGAAAGTGGGCACAAAAATCAAAAAGGTTTGTTTCTGCTTCCATACAACGTGAATCGGAGAACGTTTCGGAATTGCGTATTTTTACAATTTCAGCGACGTGGCTCGTGTCGTGATGATAGCCGGTGCACGGGTTGGTGCCTTGGCAATTACTATCGGAGTTGCAGCGCGAAACTGTCTCTGCGATAATTTTTCCAGGTAGGGTGAGCCAGGATTCGTGAGGAATGCAGGTTTTTTGGATTTTTTCATATGAAATTCGATATTGAGCAATTAGGGCGCCTTTAGTGTGTAATGTTAGGCATGTTTGGCTCTGGAATTGATTTAAAAACAGGTCGGCGCTTGTCTCAATTTGGCATATACCGTTTACGCAACGTTCTTCATCATGCACAATTTCGGTTGAAACGTGACTGTCGCATGCTAGATTTCCGCTAATCAAACTACATATGATGGTTAAAATTGGGAGGATCCCTGAGGTCAGGGCTAATCTCTGGCTGCGTCGATTGATTTTTGCGATTTGTGTCCCAAGGCTATCTTGAGAGCGGACGCTATCAATTGATCTCGAGAGGGCTCTAGATTGCCGTAGGGCACTTCTACGAGATGTCGAGGGGTGATATGGGTGATCGTTGTCGAGGTCGCTCCAGCGGACGGATAGCTGGGAAGGGCGGCGAGCAGATGGGCGAATTAAGGTCACGGCTTGGTCGGTCGCATTTCTTTGACCTCGGAAATTATCGACATTTTGAGAGAGCTGATGTAGGTTGATACGGATCCAATTTATGATAAACCAAATGGTCATCGTTAGGCGCCAAAGAAGTTTTAATATTGCGGTCGTATAGCCAAAAGCTAGGGAGGTGCGTTCCCAACAGTTTTTTCCCTTTGATATGTGGCAGAGGCAACATGAGAAGTAGAGTATTATAGATATTAGACTAGCTATTAGCATTAGGAATATTTCAATTCTACAATGGGGGTTATATAAAAAGGTTTTAAATTGGGCCCATTCTAAAAGATTCGATTCTTTTATTAAATCGCATAGTGCTGTTCCATTACATGTTTTTGTGACCAGAACAAAGTCCTCAGATTTGGGGTTTTTCTTTTTCCATGTTGCGAGAAAGGGGCCTTGAGCGAGCGTTTCGAACGGGAGGGTGATATTGGTTTCATTTTTTGCAGTAATTCCTTGGGGTGAACAGAAATTTGTGGATGTGCAAAACGCATATTCAGTAGAGGGGGCTATATCGTGGTCGACTAGCTGAACACCGTTACTTTGACATTTAATGTGGGACTTGGGTTTTGTCTCGTCCTCATAGAGGTCGACTTCGTCGCCTCTTTCGCCCAGGATAAATGTGTTATCGGAATCATTATCGATCAATTCCGTTATCCCTTCCACGGCCAAGTAGCCGCCCACGGTTTGAGCGGCAGGGTTTCCAAGAATTTTCTTGCCTAAGAAACTAGATTGCTTGATCGTCATTTTACCAGCATCGAAGGCACGTCTAGCTCCCTTTTGGAGAACCGATTTAGCGCCTTGTTTGAGTTCTTGAGAGCCTGCTTTTAGGGCATTCTTTCCAGCGTCTTTGAGCGTCATTCCTAAATCGACTAGGCGATTTGAGGAGAGCAGGCTCGACGCTCCTTGGCCGAGGAGTGATATGGTCCGACCAGCTAATGGTTCGGGCTGGGCAATTTCAGTTCCATTCTGGTCAGTCAGGGGGAAGGCGATTTTGAGTTTTAGGATAGGAGAAGATGATAGATTTTTCCTAAAGGCATTTTCAAATGCTTCTAGATCGCTAATCGGGCGTGGAGGAGGAGGAGTAGTTGTTGGGGATTGTGCCAGTGGGAGTAAAAATAGGGGAGGATTGGGTTGTAGGCCGACTTTTTTCTGATATTGTGGGATATTAGCGATTGGGCTAGGGTTTAAACTGATCACGTTTTTACTATCGTTTTGAATGACATTTTCGGGGTTTTTGGCTAATTTTATGGTTTTTGCTGTAGTCGTAGTTGGGGTTGTAGTTGTGGTGGTAGTTGTAGTTGTAGTTGTGGTTGTAGTTGTAGTTGTAGTTGTGGTTGTAGTTGTAGTTGTGGTTGTAGTTGTAGTTGTTGTTGTAGTTGTTTCATTTGGTTTAATTTGAAGTTTTGGTTCCACTACTATGGTAATATTTGATCGATTTTGGGGGTTGTTGGAGGTTACGGTGGTGTTTTGAATGGGCGCGCCTGGTTTGGCGGGCTTTGGGCCATCTGCTGGGGGAGGCGGGGGAGTGGGAGGGGCTAGTGTCGTATTGGTTTTTGGGGCATTTACGAACACAATATTTTCGATGTTTGGGATAGTCTCACCCGCTCTAGCTCCTAGGCAGTTTGAAGGACTAAATAGGCTCATTGTAATACAAATTATTGTCATAAAGGTACTGTAATTGACTCTTGGTATTTTTCGGAGGCCCTCTCGTTTTCTTATAGGTTCTTGTTCCATGACAGCTTGTTCATTTTTCTTTATTTCAGATTCGGGCCGACTTGCTGGATTGGATGTCGACGATCGAGGCTCGTCTTGCGTGTTGATTTCAGTAAGTTCAAGGCTCGGGGCAGCTTCTGTTTTAGGGGTATTTGATCGAACTGTCAATAAGGGGATAAGATGGGTGAGGGGCCTTTCGGTGATATTTCCATTACTGAACCGTATGCGAGCGCTTCGGGGTTCTGCGTAGCGATTGGGGAGGAGAGATAAGACGGTTGCCACTTTCCAATCTTTCCTTTGCTTGCTAAAGTCTCGAACTAAGATGACATCTCCCTGATTGGGGAATGTAGTATTGCATGAGGCCTTGTTAGCGGGTTTGGATTCCAGAAAGGTTCGTGATGATGTAAGGTAGTCCTTGTGCCATGAATCCCAGAATTCTCGGACACGATTTTGTGTGCGTTTATAGATTGGGATTAGGGCGTTGTCCAAATCGGTTTCGTCAAGATCTTGAATTTCATGAGCAGTGTGGACTCGTGGGAGGACTAGATCGATCGGTCGTAGTACATGATTCTCGTAGGAGGCTAGGGGCCTACTGTTTACTATTTGCTCGGCTTCATGTAGGAAGGTTAAAAATTCAGTAAAAGTTGGGACGGTGTTGTCTAGTGCCTTTTTTAGGCTTCGCTTTATGAGAGAGACCATACGTTCATGAACTCCCGCGGTATGCGGCGAGTAGGGAACGTAGTGTTTCCATGAAATTTTTTCAATTGCCAATTTCTCGTCAAGGCTTAGAGGGGAGGCTTTTTCCATTAATGTAGGGAGGATTTTTGCTGTAGATTTTAGTGATCTTTGTTGATCGCTATAAAAGGTTTTTGGAGGGCCCCATCTAGCGATAAAGCGTCTGATTGCCATTAGTGTGTCGTCGGTGGTAAGGGTTTGACTGTATTCGGTGTGCACAAGTCTGGATGATAGACAAGTGAACAATAGCACGTAGAGTTTATAAAAACTTCCAGATTTTTTATCATCTTCCACAATTACCGGACCGAGATAGTCCATCGATGTAAATTCAAATGGATTCGACGATGTGGTGCGCTCGGGGGGCAGTGGGGCAAAGTTTTGTTGACGGAATGGTTGCTGGAAAAGTTTTGAACACAGGTAGCAATCTTTGATAATTCTCTGGGCTTTTCGACGAATATTTCGGCTAAAGTAGTGGGTGTTAAAATGAGCGG